TTTGGCTTCACCAGATTATGCTCTCCCGTTTTATTTAGATGCCACAGTGCAGTCTCAGGTAGCTAACGGGGTGTTATATCAAAAGTGCAGAGGCCAGAGAAAAATCTTACAGTATATTAGCGTTCCATTGGATTCAATCGAGGCTAGACAGGTTGACTGTTCTAGGTATGCTGCAGGAGTGGGACATTTGATTAAGAAAACAGCACATTTAGTCATGGGGCATGCTTTAGAAATATTGACTGATCATGGCGTTTGTGCATATGTGTCCTCAGCTGCATTCACTATGTCACCTTTGAGACAGTCACGGCTCTTACAGGTGCTCACTCAGCCCCACATAACTTTTACACCTCTTGGCATTAACATGGCTGACCACATGCCAAGACAGGGTGAGCCGCATGACTGCAGTGTAAGGGTAATAGACAGTCTGAAAGTGCGACCTGACCTCCAGACTGACCCACTTCAGGACCCCGACTTACAGCTTTTCACAGATGGGTGTTGCTGGAGAGAGAGGAATGGCAGCCTGAGAGCGGCATATGCAGTTGTCAGTGTTAACGGTGAAAATTTTGTTACAGTAAACAGCGGTGTTTTAACTGACAAACCATCAGCGCAGGCGGCAGAACTAGAGGCTCTCTGCGCCGCCTTGGAGTTTGCTAAAGGTAAATCTGTAAATATTTACTCCGACTCTGCGTATGCTACTCAGGCTGTCCATTTCAACCTCTCCGAGTGGAAAAGAAACGGCTTCTTGACTGCTAAAGGCCGACCCATCACACATAGAGCCCTGGTGGAGAGGCTGGACAGCGCTCTCCAGCTTCCAAAACAGGTAAGCGTCATCAAGTGCCAAGGGCACTCCAAGTCAGACAACTTTGAGGCCAGGGGAAACGAGGCGGCGGATGAGGCCGCAAAGAAAGCTGCCAACTACAAGGTCAGTACTCCAGGAGTGTTTGTGGTACGGGACGAGGGGCCAGACCTGGCAGACTGCCTGCCCGATCTGTCCCTTCAGGTTTTAGCTGAAGCCCAAACAAAAGCAGCTCCTGAAGAAATATCCATGTGGGTTCAAAAACGGGCAAAGAAGGATCCAGATACTGGCATCTGGTACGGCCCTGATGGCCGCCCCGCCCTGCCCATGGGGGACCTCTCACGAGCGGCTTTATCTGAGGCACATGGGCTAGCCCATGTGGGTCAGGTACAGATGCTCAGGAATATGTCACAATGGTGGCATCCCTTTAAGACAAGCATGATCCAAGATTATACTAGGTCCTGTCAAATATGTCAGAATTATAACCCATCGCCCTGCTCAGCTGTTTCCCCAGGAAAATTCACACCTGCTGCTTGGCCTGGGGCACATGTTGTGATGGACTTCACAGATATGATTAACAGGTGCGCAGGAAAGCGGTACCTGTTGGTCGTCACTGACACCTTTACGGGATGGCCTGAGGCATATCCTGCTGCAAAAGAGGATGCTGCCTCTGTAATCAAAGCCTTAATTCAGCATTACATCCCAACGCATGGCTTTCCCCAGTTAATAAGGTCTGACAATGGGACGCATTTCAGGAACAAACACTTGCAATTGGTAGAAAAACATCTGGGGCTAAAACATAAATTTGGAACGGTCTACCATCCTCAATCCCAGGGCCGAGTTGAAAGGATGAATCAGACCTTGAAAAGTAAACTCTCTAAAATCCTGGCAACGAGTAAATTGAATTGGCTACAGGCATTGCCTATTGCCCTGTTGTCAGCAAGGCACTCTGTTAACCGCATTCACCATTTCTCCCCATACGAGCTGTTAACAGGGAGGCCTATGCCAGGACCAGGAAACAGGGTGGTGCCTTTCACGAAAGACGACTCCCCAACACCCCCAGTGCGGGTGTACTGGGAACAATTGAGAGAAATGTTGTCTAGTTTTTCCCATCAGGTTGAAGGAAGTCTCGACCTCTGCGAGAAGGAGGCCTCGGAGGATCCACCAGCCTGGGTCCGTGTGAAGGTGTTCAAAAGGAAGTGGAACGAGCCCCGCTGGACCGGACCCTTTGAAGTGGTGGCCCGCACTCGCAAAGCTGTTCAACTGAAGGGACACGGGAACAAGTGGTTTCATCTCTCTCATACGAGACCATCTGACCCACCCTCGTAACCACGCTCACGGGTTGGACAGTGACTCACACACACGCTTACACTCGCTCTTAATATGTTGCCTTGGGACAGGGAGCCCTGGCCCACGACCAAAAGAGGGAGAGCCATCCTATGGGCTATCGCTGCAGTTGGTTTGGTCGTGGTCCTGGGAATTTTAACATGGGAAGTGTTAGAAAACACACAGCTAAGAGACAGGGCCAGACTTGTAACACAATCCAGTCTTTGGTCCAATAAGACTGACAGAAATAAAAGATCCATAGGAGAAGGCAGCGTTAGAGACTCTCTACCTACGGTTGTGACAGTAAAATGCCCGGTGGGTGCGACAATTACAGCCCACATACCAATGGCAACAATCTTTCCATTATCCTTTCGACCTGACTTCACACTCTACCTGTGTTACACACCGTCAACATGTAAATATGAGAGACATGGAAAAAGCTTTAGAGCATCGGTGGACTGCACCTGTGATGCTTGGGAGTATGTTATATCCAATACAGGTCCTGATTGGGGTTATAATAATGAACACAGATTGAAGGGACGAGTGATTCTGACTACAGACCACTCACAAACAACGGTGCTAGTCACTGTGAAAAATTGTGGGATTGATGTGAATGGGACTTACGTTATTGGACATTATCCAGGAGACATTAGACAATGGATTTCAATTGCCCTACCCGAGGACAAGGAGCTAGACAAGGAGGCCATAAATAGTGAAGTATGGCAAGACAAACAAAACGTACAGGTGACTGCTGACTGGACTGTTTCTGAATTGTTAAAACAAGCAACTGGATATGGGGATAGAAACGCTTGGTTGTGGACAGTGGAGCACATGTCAGCGGCTGCTGGCTTTGACGATTGTGTTGTGTGTTCCACTGCACGTCCCACTTTGTATACAGCCCGGCCCCACTTTTCCCAGAAGATGTAGATGGTTATAATTGTATGATAAAGTTGTTTTGGCAAGAAAAGGACCTGACTGAGGAGACAAAGACAGTCCGTAGCAACTGTTCAATGTTTGAAGTATTGTTTCCAGAATTGGATTCAGAAATTCAGCCCCCTATGTTTTCCCACAGGAAAAGCAATTACACCTGTTTCCACTCACTCAATGGAGGGACGAGGCCGCGTCTCCAGTGGGGGTTCCTTCCAGCAGACTGGTGTGTCAACAACGTCACCCTGCCCAGTCCGGTCCCCATGACCCGGACCAGAGGTGATTTGTATTGGTTGTGTGGAGATTTAAAACTTAGACATAGACTAATAAAAAATTTTACAGGCAGTTGTGCAATGGTGCGATTAATGATGCCCATTTCCATAATTGGCCATAAGCCATCCCTAGACAGTCCCCACCCACAGCATAGATTTAAAAGGGCAATCCCATTCCTAGATACTGGGAAAGATAATCCAACTTACATGGACTCTATAGGTGTTCCACGTGGAGTCCCTCATGAATTCAAACTGGTAGATCAAGTTGCAACAGGTTTCGAAAATCTTCCAATAATTTCCGCTATTTTCCCTATCACGCCAAACAAAAATGTAGATAGAATTAATTTCATTTGGTATACTATGCTTAGGCTTGCCAATCACACCAGGGACGCAATAGAGGGATTGGCGGAGCAGCTGGGGGCCACCTCTCTGGTAGCATTTCAAAACAGAGTGGCTCTAGACATGCTCTTAGCAGAGAGAGGTGGGGTCTGCAGTCTATTTGGTACAGAATGTTGTGTATACATTCCAAATAACACACATCCAGATGGATCAGTTTCCAGGGCTCTGGCTGGTCTCAAAATGCTGTCAGAGCAAATGCATGACGTTTCTGGAGTCCCGGAGAACCCACTGGAGGCGTGGCTGGACAGCATCTTGGGGAAGTGGAAGCATGTAATTTTGTCTGTTATCACAAGCCTTGCGGCCATCTTTGCAATAATAATGGTTGTAGGATGCTGCTGTATACCTTGTATACGTTCTCTTTGTGTTAAAGCTATAGACACCGCTGTTAACCCTGGACTGAGAGGTCAAATGCTTGCATTGGTTGAGGATTCCCCCGTCCCGTCGCCTGAGGAAGGTTATTGAAATGTGTGGCCTTTTTAATAGCGGCCAAAAGAGGGGACTGTTGTATTAAATATAGGCTAAAAGGCGATGTGAATTAGATTGACCTGAAATTGAACTCTGTCTGTCTCCAAGCAAAAAGAAAGACCTTGTATTGCCCTACTCCCCTTGTCCCATTTTGTCCAAAGTGCATGGGTGAGTTAATGATAGTTAATCTGGGGGGATTCTGCTAATCCTTTCAAGTTGTGAAAGAAGGAGATGGAGTCCAGAATCTGGAGGAGAAGCCTTGAGATCCCTCTGCCTTATCTCAAAGGAACTAATAAATCGATAGAATTAGGGAGGGGTAGTGCGTGAATGATTTCTGTTTAGGTTCGGCGAGACGGAGGAAAAGGCCGGACCTTGGACCAGACATCTGCCTGATACGACACGCCCCCTTCTTCATGCACATTTACTTATAATAACCTCATGCTTGTGTTAGTCTAGACCGGACCAGGGACAGGAGTGTGATTTGCGTGGAGCGCCCACCAAAATCATACTTTTATATTTTATATAGAGAATAAGGGATAGTTACTTTTGGTCCGAACAGCTGTTTTAGATTCTTTTTGTATTAGGGAAATAAACCTTTTTGAATTTAACTTCCTGAATCATGGTCATCTTTATAAGGGATTTTGAACACGTCATTTTTTAATATAATACAAGACAAAAGCACATCTACCTGAGAATCATTACCCATATTTCAAAACACATTCTTCTCAAACAGGAGTTCTAACCATAGTCTGTATGTTAGGAGTGAACTGGGAGAGTGTGACATCACCTCTCCCTGGTCCGTGTCTCACTGGTACCTTTTGTTGGGGGTTGAAGATCAGGATCTTGGCATCTGTTGCAGGTCCCCAACTCGTGTGGTCCTCAAGGATTAGATCGTCGCTGTGCGCCTCCTCCTCAAACCCAGATGCCCAGATCTGTGACGTCACCATGGAAACAGCTCAGACTCGTGCAGTCCCATCCCATCCAGGATCGGCCTTCCCACTCAGCCAATCACACAGCCCCGCCTCCTTCTGCCACTCTACCCTGATGCCACCAGTGCCAGGATCGGAGATTATCACACATGACCTTCCCTGAACCAGCGTCACAGCTGGGGTCTATGCGCCAAACAGAAGAAACTAATTTAATGCATTCTCTGTCCAGTGTCTACGGATTGAAATATTTTCTACAGTTTGGTTTGAGACTTTGAGCATAAGAAAAGATGCTGAGAGAAACGTGCCACGTTGCCATATGTAATTGGAATTTTATACAAGTTATCATTTTAATGTAGTAATACGTGGCTAAAATATATTGTATTGAAATTCACTGTTGTCTTCTGGGCGACAGGTGTTGTATGCAGATGTAAGAAGGCCACCGTTTCTTTGATATGCTAAATACCTAAGGTGCCGCTTTAAAACCATGTATGAAATTTAAGGGGGTTGGGCTTGCAGCCTAGCAAAAAAGTTTGAGCCTTGTCTGAGTTAGATCTGATTTTGGAACCAGAGAGATCAGCACTTTCTGCTCTGTCTCTGCTTTAGAAATCACTTCTTGGAATGCAAACAAGTATTAAAGAATGCAGGAACTATGCCTTTTGCGTTTGTGTCAGGATTGACTAAATTACAGCATTAACACCATACTTGCATGCAAAAGCAGCAAGCAGGGAAGGGCCCGGTTAGACCTGTGATGGGAGACCTCTGGGAACACGAGGTGCCACAACGGGGCGGCTGCGGCTGTAAAGTGTCCTTAGGCAAGACACTTCACCCACATTGCCTAGAATTGTGTGTGTGAATGGTTGGTGGTGGGAGGGGCAGATGGCACATACTGGTTGCCTCTCTTCTGTCAGCGTGCCCCAGGGCAGCTGTGGCTACAGTAGTGGTTTTTCATCATGGAGTATGGAGTGAAAGAATAATGATATGTGGAGCGTCTTTGAGTGTCCTGAAACCGCTTTATGAAACCGATGCCTTATTATCATCATTATTATTATAAAGCATGCTCTGTGGCGTTTGGCAAAACGTTTTCATTCCCTGTCTCAAACCTGAATCAAAGCGTTAAAAAGACAGTATTGTGAGATTCACAATATTGAGAGTCTCATTAGTGCATGTCGACTTGGTGGAGAAACAGCTGATGGTTTCAAATCTGCGGCCCATGCACCACTTGCTGCCCATGCAGTTATTCTGATGCCCCCTAGAGGACATCACAAAGTACTGTCAGTTCGACCCCCACTGAGCCTGGGCTCATGTGTAATAACGTCAGGGTTCAATGTTTGGGATAATATAAACGATAAATCACAAAGTTCCTTTATGTCAAGGTAGCAGAATGTTCATGTCGATTTTAAAAACACTGGACACGACAGTCTTCTACATTGTTAAAATGTTCCCCTCAAAATTGCATCGCTTTGTTTTTGGAGGCAATTATGTGCTCTACGGACAACGACAACATTGATGTTTGTTGCTGCTACAGAAGCTTGTAGTTGTCAAACACTAAACCAGCGGTTTCGATTGGAGAGCTAAATGGCAGAGGGGTACTCTTATAGTCATTCAAAATCTAGTTTATGCAAACTACATACAACAATTTGATTCAATAATACCATTATAATGTATATCTAGGGGTGGGCGATAAGGCCTAAAATTCATATTGCGGTATAATTTGGGACACAAAGAATGCAGGAACTGTGGGAGCCAAGTTAAGCTTTGTTAGCTAGATATTTGCATGTTGCATAGGGTATATTAGAGTGTTACTAATTTATTGTTTATTTTGTTACAAATTAGTAATAACGTATTTATTTGCTTAATTAGTATTTTATGTTAATTTAGGAACTACATTTCATGTTTGTAAATACCCTTGTTGAACCAAGTTATTTTTGTTTTACATTTAACATTTACGTAACAGTCGCTTTAAGAGAGATAGGTTTTGGTTTGTTTACAGAGGAGCGAGCGAGAAGAGAGCGAGCGTAATTAGAGAGAGGCACGTAACTTTGGCAGCTCAGGAGATAAGGAGCCAAACGGTTTTCTTACCGCATTTATTTTATTAAGAGACAACTCAGCAAAGTAATTTCGTGCACAAGAGTGTGGAATAAACGTTTGTTAATTTTTACATGGAGTCCCGTGGGAGTTTCTCTTTTTTAAAGTAACGCGAGTAAGCCATCGGCAACCAGTGGAAGCTGCAGAGTACAGGAACTATGCCTGCATTATACAATATGCAGGTAAAACAAAAATCTATCGTTGGCCAAATTTTTATCGCATACCGCTTACATTGCCCAGCCCTAGTATATCCCTGAAATAGTGTACATAGGGAAATTATTAGTGATAATAGATTAAATGACTTAATTGTGAATTCAGAATAGAATCAGAATCATGTGTTAAATTCATGAATTCACGCTACTTTGAAAGGGGAGGAGAGTTATTTTCTTGTAGGTCGGAACAGGAGACATTACTCCTCCCACTGTGGGGAAATGTCAATGTTGCAGCGCACTGACAGGAGAAAAGCTGTACATGCTTAATAGGAGCAATAAGCCTCTCCATCCCTATCCCTCCTCTCTTTGTGTGTGCACAGATATTATGCTCTCTAAGTCGCCATGGGAGAGAGGAATTACGAGTACTGTCTTTTCCCCTGGCCCTACCACGCGACGCCGTGAGCAGGTGTAAGAATTAATCGTAACATAGACGTGACATCAGATTTTCGGTAATTCGGCCCTCATCCAGGGAAGGCCGTGAGTCATAACGCACTGGTCCTGTCCACATTACAGACGCCTGCTTTGTGGTTAACAGTGAAAAAGAAAATTAACAGTTACCCATCGGTAACTTAAGTTCTCAATAGGTGCACGTGATATCCCACTAGCAAGTCCGCTAGTACGTAGCACCATGTGCCCCGTAGAAGCAGGCCTGCACCGCTCCATCCAATGATCCTATCTATCTCGGCGCAGCTAGACTCTGTGACATTCCGTGCTGGCTTGTCCGTGACATACTATAACACTACCCACTCTGCCAGGGGGGGAGGTTCTGGCGGCCCAGAGTCCCCCCGTCTCGGCGCCTCAGGTCCCTGCTGAATGAAGGCGGCGGCTCATGCGTGTGCGGCTAGGCCTTCTCCACATGAGAATTTTCAGAGGTGTTCTCACGCCCAGGCTTCATTGCACCCCTCCCTACGGGGTGGAGGCGATCTGGGTTCCCCAAGTGGCAGCATCAACATCAGGTTCTGGCTCACTCGCGGGTCGTCTACGGACGGAGTGACTCTGTCCTGCGCAGTACATTGTGGCGCCTGTCCTCACGTGGAGATGTTCAACGTCGCGTCGCTCGAAGATGGGGGGGTCCGCGCCAAGTTCTGTAGGAGGCTGCTGGTCGGCTCAGCCCGTCACAATCAACCTGCTGGAGATGGGCAGTGCCACAGGGGTGTACTGCTGCACTTTGCTCCTCAACTGCAGGGGAGTCAACTGATGGTGCTTCTCAGAACAACACCCACAGTGGTACTCCTATCTGAACAAGGCAGGGGGTCACCAGTCCCCTCGGCCTCTCACTATCGCATGGCGAAGGTGACGCATGCTGTGGCCGGCGCTTCACTCCCTGCCTGTCTCCTCATGGCGCGCCACGTCCCGGGGGTCCGGAACGTGGGGGCCGTCGGATGTCCAGGGGGGGCCCACTATCCAGGACAGTGGGGGCCTGGCCCCCAGGGGTGGCTGCGAGACTGGCGGAGGTTTCGGCCCGCCAGTGGTCGACCTTTTTTTTTTCGCCAGTGCAGAAACGCACAGTGCCCGTCCTGGTTCGCCTCAAAGGGCCGCGACCACGCCTTTAGACCGTGGACGCTCTGGGCTCATTCCCCTGCCAGGGGCCTGCTGTAGCTTCCCACCAGTGCGCTCCCTGCCGGTCCTAGCGCGGAGACGAACGAAGAGGGTCGTGATCCTGGTGGCACCGACAGTCGAATGCCCTGTTGGTTCCCCCTTTCCTGAGGGGCATGGCGTGATGGGAGCCCTGGCCCTCCCAGGGACGAGCCGGGGGCTCGAGTCCCGGGGGAGGAGGCCCCCGTTTTTCCCACCCACCCCGATAATCCCGCAGTCTCTGGTTGGAGGCTGAGAGAGCGGAAAACCCATCGTAGACCTGGGTCGTACTCCCCCCAGCGAGGTGGAGACACCAAGGGGCGAGGCGCCGTCCACAGTCAGGGCCAACGCCACGAGGTGGAGCCTATAAACAGACTAGTTGCGGTTTTTCGTTCCTGGGATCCCAGCTTGCCCTTCTTGGGAGGGGTCCTGGGATTCCTACAGAGCGCTTTGACAAGGGGAGGCTGTCGCCCACCTTGGGCGTTTTCCGGCAGCATTACTTCGGGCACGACGGAGTCGGGGGTTCACCAGCCCGTTCTCACCGTAGGTTTAAACGTTTCTGCGGGGGGCAACGCAATAGAGGCCCCCGCTTCCTGAGAACGCCCCGGCCACCGGTTTGGGACCTTCAAGGGAGGTCTTAGGGGCTGTCGGGTCCGCCTTTTGAACCGCGCGGAGCGAGTCCCAGTTGTCGCTTTAAGACGGCCCTCTTGTTGGCGTTGGCGTCTGCTAGGAGCCCGGCGATTGTGCGCCCTCTGTCCATGCTCTTGCTGCCGTGGAGAGGGCGACGGCAATGTGGGTATTGTGCCAATCGGCTTTTCCCTCCCAAGGTCATCACTTCGGCCCCTTTAGTCCAGAGTCATCAGGATAGGGCTTTCTATACGCCACCCCGCATATGCCTCCCCCGAGGAAGCGGCGGCACCTTCTGTGTCCTGTCCAGAAATGCTGAGCATTACCTGCCATGACGGCGTCAATCAGAGGGTGCCAGCTTTTGTGTTCTGGGCCCCCAAGAACAGGGCCACCGCTGTCGGCTCAGCGCTGGCGCACTGGTGCCACGGCTGTGCATAGGCCCCGTCCCAATACTCGCACTTCCACCCTCGCGCCCCTCATTTGCGCGTTCCCGATAAAGTGTGCGAGTGCGTAGGGATG